TTGGATAGCTTGCATTACTATCCCTACCTGAGACCTTTGAATCCTAGGATAAAAAGCACACACTCGGCTTTATTACTTTAGAACTTGCCAGCTGGTACAATTGCTGAGCACAGAATCTCCTGCCCTAAACTTATTAGCTAGCCTGTATCAGCTAGCCTCCACGGACCCCTGGCTCTCCACGGGTGGCAGAGGCTGCTGGTTTTAGCTCCTTTCATAGAGATCTTTCATGATTGTTTCCTGCTCCTCATTCCAAAGCCTAGCCACAGGGTGAAGGAGGTGGAATCTGCATTTCCTTTTCCTTCTGGGACCCAGAAGTCCTACCTATCCCTTCTGCCCAGCAAGTTCTGCCCTGACTCCTTTATTGACCAAATCAAGAACCAATTAGGGAATCAGACAATAATATCATCACCTCCCCATACAGGAGGTGGTGACTTCCCATCTACCTCCAACTCATTATAGATGCTTGGTTTACTTTAAGACTACATTTCTGCATTTAAAAATGTATTCTGCTAACATGTATTAAAAAATTTGCTGTGTATTTGAGGTTTAATCGTCCTCAAAGAGCTAAAAATATTTACAATTGCGATACTACAGAAATTTAAAATCTATGTTAATTTTTCAACTGTTTTCATTGGAATAAATATTTTTAGCAAAAAATGTCAATAACAGAACAGAAATAAATCTCATATATATATATACATATATATATATACACATATGTATGTATATATGCATATATACATACATATATGTGTATATATATATATATATATATATTCAAAAGCTTCAAATGGATGTTTCAGCTATCATTTATGTGTAGCCTACCTTGTAGTATAAATACGAATATTTCTAAAAAGAAAAGCCAAATAAAGCCCACATTATTCAGTTATTACAATGCACTCAGTTTGCACTAGAGTAATTCAAATTTGTATCATTGAAATTTGTGAAATCATTCTTAGTTTACTGTAGTTTTATTTCATGACAGAGCAAAGATTGAATTTTAACTCCCATAGTTATTCAAAAGTAGTTATCATTGTTTAATAAAATATCCCAGCAACTCCCGTGTATGCTAATATGGGAAGCCTTGTGTTTGTTGGAAATGCATAGTTCTCAAAATATTTCAATTATACTTACCATTTGTGTCTTAGAAATACTCTCACATATGGTCATTATTTACTGAATATCAGTTATGTGAAGGAAATAGGTAGTTACTTTTAGTGAACTGTATATACATGAGAAAGAATGGCGTATTTCTATTGTAAATTATATTTCATTCAGATTCCTGCTCTGGGATTCCTCACAACGTGATCCCTAATTCCACTGTAAGTTTCAGTCACTGCAGCCATTGCTTTAGAGAGATCAGAGTGTGCGGTGTTTTGTCACCTTAGAACTGGTTTAATAGGTATTTCAGGATAGTGGATACACATTGAATAATTTTAAATTACGTAAAAATGTTTTAAACTTTTTATTTGAATTTTTGGATGTCAGTACTTTGACTCTGTGTATTTGTTTGCATCATCTGCGTGTCTGGTGAAGGAAGAGGCCAGAAGATGGCGTCGTTCATTCACACTGGAGTAATAGACCACTGAAAATTGCCATATGGGTACTTGGACTTAAACTCATGTAATCTGGGGGAGCTACCAGTGCTATTTGCTACTATGCAGTCTCTCCAATGGGTGGTGATGGCACACACCTTTAATTCCGGCACTTAGAAGGCAGAAACAGGTAGATCTCTGTGGGTTTGAGGACTGCATGTTCTATAGAGTGAATTCTGAGTCAGGAGAGCTACATAGAGAAATCCTGTCTCAAAAAAAAAAAAAAACCATAAACAAACGAATGAATGAGCATGTAAACACACACATACACACACAACACAAATGAATACATATTAAATAAATAAATAAATGAATAAATAAATGGTTTATAATTAGTTTCCTATGAAAATCATCTGTAATCTAATAATGGGACATTATTTATAGATTTTAGAGCTATCATACAATCAAGAAATTACATCCCATGCACTGTAATGAGTTTCTACATAAAATGAACTGTGGCTTAAGCTAATTTCTTTTCTTCTCAATATCTATAATGTCATTAAGCAATTAGAAGAATAGCATGAAATCTGTATCTTTAAATGAATTATAAATTATCTCATATTAAAATATCACTTCTCCAGGATTTTCACAGAGGTTGTGATTCAATTAGTACATATTGGCTAAATTTACAATTTAAATTGTTTGACAAGCATCAAATACTTTGTGAATTCAATGTGGTTTTACTACCAAATGTCTTCATCATAATATTCATGATAAATTAGATATAAAGAAATTTTGTCATGGTTGTCCCAGATACCGATATGATGATTCAAACAATAAGACATTATGTTCTCAATACAATTTAATACATTGCATATCTAAATTCAAAAATCTATATTAGTCTAATAAATCAAATATTCTGGCAAAATATTTTATATCTATTTTAGAGCAGTGGTCTTTAAACAGGGATCTTACTGCTCTGGTACTTGGTACTTAAGAATATAAATTGATATTTGTATAATATAATAATGAATTAAATATACACAATAGAAGAGAAGATATTAAAATGAAGTCAATGTATCCATGACAAAATTATTGTTATTTTCTTTTTCCTGAATATCCATTTTCCTGGCATCATCAGTGATAATTTGTGTGACATTTAATTTTGGAAAATCTTGGTATCCTACAGTACACAGAATAATTTCACACAACAAAGTTATATATTAGTTAAAATGAAAAAAAATAATACCATTTAGATAATGACTATTAATAACAGAATAATGGCTGTGCTATTTTTTCAACAATTTCCTTATGAATATGAATCTTAAACTACATTTTAAGGGAAAAAACAGAAGTAATTTACCAAAATAGTGGATAAAATAGGTCTTGTTTATTTATATAACTTTTTTATAGAAAATGAAAGTAAATTTCTGTGAAGAATGTAGTTAAGTGAGAATATATGTTGCCTACAGAAGGCAATTCTTCTTTAAATAAACTGAATCAAATATGTAAAGTGTGAATCTTGTACTTTGAACTTGAGATTCACTTATCAGATAATATAGGAATAGTCTGGGCCTCACATCATCTGCTTGAAGCATTGAACTGGTATGTTACTTTAAATGAATTTTATTGGTATTTGATTTAATGGATTAGTTCAGTAAGTAGTTTTAAAGTTGAAATATTAATTTGACATATCTATAATAACTCAAAAAGTACAAGAAATTTTGATTCAAGACTTAGTATTTTTACTTTCTGATTGTGAGTTTTAGAGAGGTTTCACCGCCATTTTTCAGAGCTTTATCATATATAAACAAAGCTCATGTTTTTTAACAACTGTGCAAGTTGTTTTAGGTGTTCTAGACCATCAGTACATATTAAACATTACAATGTAAAAGGACCCTATTGTATATTGTTTCTCCCTAATATTTTTAGAAAATTAAACTCAGTTTTACCTATTTACTAGGGTTGTATGTCACTGTGCTATAGAAATAGCAGGTAGTGAGAAAACAAGTAAATTTAATGATGTTATTTTATAGTGTTAAAAATGAGATTAATGATAATTTACAATGTCAATAGACATTTGTATAATACATTGCATTTAATCAGCAAACATACAAAGGGAAAATATGTAATGCAATCTGTTCATATTTAAAAATCTGATTTTGGTGCTGGGCTAATAAGGGTAAAATTGGTTTTCAAAATTCAACTGAAAATTTTAATTAAACAATACACACACACACATGCATATATATATATATATATATATATATATATATATATATACATATATATATATTTCTAAATAATTCTCCAGTATTATCAATATACCTCCCTTAATTGAAGCCAATCCTATAGACTATACTTGTTATTTTCATGTTTAGCTATTAGTGCCTGCATGACTATGTGCTGATAGATTCTACTCTTACATATAAATTTGGTAAAATAGCATATACTTCTGCATAGAATGTTGTAATTTATGCTGTAATGAACTTTGACACTAAGATGTTTGGACTTTTCAGAATCAATCAGAAATAAAGATTTTGAGTGCATTTTTCAAAAGATCATGCCTAGTATTTCTTCATGACATAGAAAATTTTAATTTGTTAACCAATAGAAAGAGAAAATTTGGGTTGATGTAATTGTTTTGATCATTTTACATTCTGGATTTATTTTTAACTCTTGGCTCTTTTAGCTCTGTATTCTGGACAAGACCAGAATTTTTGAGGTAGTATATTTATTTGTACAATTGTGTGAAACAACATTTTATAAAAGTATATTTAAACGTATTTCATGCATTATGTTTGCATACTTTAATAAGTTACTTCCAATCTTTTCTATAGCACATCGTAGGAATGCAAATATTAAGTCCATCGGCCAGGGTTAAAACACGTGATGTGCATTAGAGAGTGACTTCTTGTTCCAAATGTATTTGGGTAGCATGTAGTCAAGTAATGAGTGAGTCTTTATCAAATTTTGGTCTTCCATAATACACTCATTAGTTCTATTTTACTTAAATATATACTCTGAGTTTTACTAGCAAGACAAATTTGAGATATTTACATATATATCTTAAATATTTGATATATTAAATATTCTGACTATATTAGTACAACACAGAAAACCATATTCTTACAACAAAATACATACCAATATTGGCTAAAGTAAGGACAGTACACTAATCCTGAAAAGATGGTTACATCACACTAGGTCCAAAGCCCCCCCTGTGTGGTTACACATCAGTTAAACAGTTACTCCTACCTGATCATATTTTCTATTCCTGGAATCATAGCTAAGCACAAATATTTCTCATCTATCATTGGTGTTTTGCAGTTGATATCTTATAATTTCCTATAATAGAGGATGATTTTCGACTTTGTATGGAAAGTAATTGAAATCAAATGTGGCATCAGGGTATCAATAGCCATGTTTTGTAATCATTGTTTATCTTTTTTATGTTTTAAACAGGTAACCCATTATTAACTAGCAAAGTTAACATACTAATTAACGTCCTAGATGTCAATGAATTTCCTCCAGAAATTTCTGTGCCATATGAGACAGCTGTGTGTGAAAATGCCAAACCAGGACAGGTATGTGGTCAATATTACTCATTAAGTGTGTATAATGACCCCTATATGTTATGCTTTAGGTTTAAGTCCAGAGATAGGTACACATTCACGTAGGTATTCTCATGCTTAACATATTTTCATAAAATTAAATATATAAGTAATATGAGGCTTATGTACCCCACCGACATCTCTGAAAAGAAAAAGGAAATACATTTTAGGGATCTTCTGTATACACAACTGGCCTTGAACTTACTTTGTAGCTCAGAATGTCTTTAAGGTTTTAACACTCTGACAAAACCTCTGTATTATTGTATGTATAGTCCTGTGTCACCATGCTCAATTTGTGAGGTAATGAATTGTCTGGGGCTTTGTGTATGCTAGGCAAGCACACATACAAGTAAACTATGTCCACAGATTTAAATAGGTTTGATTTAAATGATGCAGGTTAGCATTAATTTGAATCAAAAATACACCTCAAATGTTAACAACTCTATACTGATTGTTAAATAATAGAGGACATTTAAGGTTAACATAGGGTGATGTAAGAACATTGGTAAAAGTCTGAGTACAGTAAATGTTATGTCTTAGAGACTGAATATATTAGGCTTCTCAAGGAGAACAGAATAGATAAAAGGAATATATTTGTATATGAACTTTAATAGAATAATTTCTGGGTTGTGGTTCAGATAGTCTAACAATGGCTGCTTACAAATTAAATGTTTAAGAATATAGTAGGTGTTCAGTCCATAAGGCTGAGTGTCTTAGCTGAACTTCATTCTATTTAGAAATGCCAAAGAAAATGCTCTACAGCCAGTGAAGTAATTAACTTGCAAATAAGAGCAAGGGTAGGTAAGCAGAAGAGATCAATTGCTTCCTCACCTCCTCAAGGAGGAGGTAAAGACAATACTCCAAATTTTGATAAGGTAAAAGGTAAACACAATCAGGTCAAATCAAAGATTTGGACTATCTAGGCTATTTCCAGATTCTGGCTGTTAAGAATAAGTCTGCTATGAACATATTGGAGCACATATCCTTGTGGTATTGTGGAGAATCTTTTGTGTATATACCCAGGAGTAGTAGAGCTGGGTTTTCATTTAACTATTTCCATTTTTTGAGGTTGCCACCAGAAGGTATAGCCCAGATTAAAGGTGGATCTTCCCTCCTTAAAAGACGCAGACTTCGGTTGGGGTTCCCCTTCTTAAATAATCCAGTTAAGAAAATGCCCTTAGCTAGTTAGTATGGTTTTATTTAATACCATATATTATCAAATTGGCAATCAAGAAGAGCAGTCACAGTTGTTAGGGTGATACTTACTAGAATGTTATATTCCATGATATATCTCCTTTACGTGTTATGTTATAAAAATGTAACCAATAATTATTGTATGAGACAAATAAACTCTGTGGTGAGAATTCCTACTGAAGAAATAGACTAAAATTTTTACTAATTATTTTTGTAATTTTCATGCCACTAATATTGATATTTACCATCCCAGTACTAATATCTAACTACCTTTCTACCTATCAGCAATCTATCCAGTATTTACCTCTGTATACTCTAGCTTTCATATATGTCTATGTGTTTGTATCTATGTAGTTAGGTAGATCACTGTCATGGGATTGGATTATAACCAGGAATCATATAACAAAAAGCAGTATTTGAATCACAATGCTTATATGTACTTTATACCCGAAGACCAGAGTCTAGAGTCTTGTGTTGAATTTCTAAGTTGTTACTATAGTCAGTCCTATTTAATTCATAAGCTTGGCCCATTTCCACATTCTTGGCTGTTCCCCCACATACGTCCCAAGATACTTTCTGGAATAGAGTTCTTAGATATCCTATCTTCTATGCCTTCTGATTTGCTGGTCTATGAAGCGAAATGCAATTTTTTTTACAGTTAAGACTTCCAAAGTTACTTTTAGTTTACATTTGAAGGGCAAAATGCTAAAGTATTTAGATTTAAAAATGATATACAACTTCTCAGGGCAACATGGGAGACATTTTGAAATAGAGACGTGAGAATTTTCCTGTCCAGGTAGTATTGAAACACATATATCATTCCAAATACCAGAGTGGAAGTATCAACACCAGTTACTATGTGTTACTGTCTTCATGTTTATTAACTTAATATATCGATTCTAACAAATGTGCTTGCTCTTTAATTTTGCATTTGCAAGAGCACATAGATAATAAAATGTCCTGTTTCTAGTAAGCATTTCATATTTAATCTACAAAACATTTAATTCACCTAATGTAACTTGCAAACAAGTGACTTTTAATTTTATTTTGCTTGGTAAAAAGAATTTTCAATACTGGAAAGCTTTTTGGTTACAAAGATATTGATTTCGAATTAGCCTATGCCCTCCGATTGTAGCTGGCATTATTACTTGTAAATTCTTAGAGAGTTACTTATAAAAGGTATGTATAAATAATTGGGTCACTGGTATTGATTCAAAATTGTCCTTTCTGTTTATTTGTATTCATTACTAAATAAACTTATTAGCCAGTTGTATAACATTCCCTGTTAAGTTCATATCTGACTTCAAGTCTAATCTCAACTTCATTGCAGATAATTCAGATAGTTGGTGCTGTAGACCGAGATCTTTCACCTGCTGGGCAGCAATTCTCCTTTAGATTAGCACCAGAGGCTGTCATCAAACCAAATTTTACAGTTCATGACTTCAGAAGTAAGTATATCCACTTACAGATTTACCTCTTATGTAGTTTTGTCCAAGGACACAAGGAGAGGAATCAATGCTTTTTCACAAAGCATGTTCCTAGAACATAGAAATCCATATATAGGACATACAAAAATTTCAAAGAGTAGCAAATTAATTACTACATGATGATTATCAGGTAATGCAGTTTAATTTCATTTTTAAAAGGACCAGGTTTTTAAAGAGCCATGCAAATAAAACTCTGCCTGGAAACTGAGTGATTCCTTGTTTTGAATATAGCAGCTTAATGGTAAGCGTTATACATGCAAGTTAATTCTATATTCATTTATTTTATTTGACCAACAAGTTTATGCATTGGGCAGTTCAATTAGAAGGAACAGGATTTTATTCCTATTTTACTATTCCCATTGCTACCAATGACACAATTATCCTAAATAATCACAGCCTCAGAGCATCTGTACTGAGACCATATGCAAAGCATCTATACAGTGCTGAAAGTGTTTCTGTAAAGATAATTTTATCCACAACTGCTGCCAATCTGTGTATCATGTGACTTCCACAGTAATAATCTGCCATCTTTATTATCGTGTCTATATTGCAATATCTGCTAATATTACAAGCCATCACAGAAATATATGTTGGATTAGAAGTATGGGTGTTTCTCTTTTGAAGATAGGGCTGTAATTTAAGAAACTTTTCCAAAAAGAGAAAAGACATGATTAATGATTCAAATCAATGTATTACCCTTATGAAATGCAAAGCCCAGATTATCCTTCTTTAAGTGTTTTCAGAGTGTCCACATTAACTTCAAATGAGAAAATTGTCAAACACACTTTTGAATGACTTTTCAATTGTATTAGGCATGTTGCTACAAGTAAAAGCAGAATGCTTGTCTGGATATATTTTTCTACCATCATGAAAGCAAAAATGTAAGCCAGATCATTTCTAAGTCAGATTTGTATTAAGTCTTACAAATATTAGCTCTGTGACTTTGTATGGCAATCTACTTGATGTACCTATATAGTGTATCGTAAGTATCAAATATCCAATATAATATTTGATGGAAAAACTGATATACTAAGGTGTTTTGTTTTTATTTTTTTTAAATAATTTATTTATTTATTTATTTATTTATTTTGAACATGAAATGCTTTTTTATAGCATGTTTTACAAGGGGAGGGGGTAAGAGGGGCCAGGTGGTGGAAAAGTACAAAATCTTCTTGGCCTGTGCCTTGAAACATGTCATGGTCTATACGGTACACTGCCTTGAATTATGATCTACCTGCTGTTCTTCAGAAGATATGGTACACTGCTTGAGTTATGGTCTCCCTGCTATTCTTATGATGATATGGTACACTGCTTTGAGTCTATCTGCAGTTGCTAAGCAGGATCTTGCAGTTGCCAAGCTTCAGAGGACATTGTGCAGGTGGGGAAAGGTAGGGGGTGAGGGTAAGGGCGAGGGTCCTGGCTTCTGGCATCTCCCCCTTCTCTGTTTAGTTAGAGAAGGCATCTTATGATCAATCCCAACTATGTGAATTTTGAATTTGGATGTCTAATTATGGGGGGTCTTAGACAAGTTCACAACCCCAAAACACTGATGTGAGACGAGTCACATCGATGGTCGAAGGTTTTAGGCTGTCGACGATGGGCAACGTCAAGGGACTCCGATGTGGGTGAAAGGAGGGTGAGAGCCCTGTCTTAGGCCATGTAGGCTGCACCCACTCCCAGCACCATGCACTCCTTTTCGGCTGCATTGGGTGGGCCCCTGGGAAGTGGACCTACAATAATTCCATCATTGGGCTAACTCACAGCCATCCTAGTCCCTTGTAAATGTTCAAGTTACCAACCATTTGTCAGTTTGGGGTGTAATATTGTCATAAAGGAAGGCTCCCCAATGTTAGCGGCCATATCAAGGGCGGCCTTGGTTTAGGAAAAAGCCAATTTTTGTTTTTAAAACGAGTGAAATAATGTAATGAGAAATTATTGATGTTGACAAATAACCAAAATTAAAGGATGTCTGGAAACAACCTATTTGTGCAATGCTTAGAGAGTAGAAAGTCTTGAGTCTCCATATTTCTCACTAATGAATGTGAGGGGGTTTCCATCCTACATAATAAAATAAGAAGCACACCAAAATTTATGAGTTTAAAAGTAGCATAGCCACATGTTTATGTCATGAAGACAATAACATTTTGCTACGTTTAAGTGGTCAGTATTTAAAAAACAAAGTTTAGAAAACACTTCTATCCAAGCAAATGAAAGTTGTGGTAGATTGAATGAGAATTCCGTCTGAATATTTCATTACCAGTTTCTGGCAGTGTTGGGGAGCATTAGGTGACAAAGACTTGATGGAAGAGTGTATCTCTGTAGCCTGCTGTGAGGTATCAAAAGCCCATGTCAATGCAAGTCAACTTGGTCAGCTTCCTGCTTGTAGATAATGACGTCAATTTTCAGCTATGACTCAGGGCTGAACCTGCCTGGCTGCCTGCTGTCATGCTGTCCAATATATTGGCCATGATTCTACCACATGAAGATCCACACTATCTCTATCTTCTATGGATTGGCTTGGGTCTTGAGTTCTTTTCACAGCAATAGAAAAACAATGAATACATAACCATATTATCATCCTGTTTGCAAAGCTATGTGGAAAGAAATTATTGAAACATTCTTAGAAACCTTTGAATAACTGAAGCAACAGTATAACCCAGTAAGTTCTGTGGTTTACATAGATCACTGAGACTGTGGTATGGAAAATATGTTTTAAATTATCTGTGTATCTAAGTCTATGATATTGCATGTGAAGAATGATTATTTGATGGAAGGAAAATGGTTAGGGTTTTCCTATAATTTTCTTGATTTTAATGAAGGACAACAAAACTTAAAAATCTTAATCTTGAATAACTAAGTAGATGTTTAATTCACTAAACAGAAAAAAATCACCATTTTAAACAATGAGTATATGTGTACAATTTTCTGGGACTTTCAATACCCATCTCCTGTAAATAAATATATTCCGTAAACTGTATTGACTATCTGATACGATAAAATTTGGTAAGGCAAAGTAAAAGTCTTAGTGAATTGAAAATCAACATTCAAGAGCAAAAAATGCTATTTGAATATCTTCACATAGTTTGCTGTGCTCCGTTATTTATTATAAATTATAACTCAAAATATGTTCAGTTAATTTTAAGCATGGAAATGATGTCTCATGTACCTCTTTTTTCCATAATATAAAAAACTAGAAATTTAGGATACTCAGTCATCATTAATAATAAGTTAGAAACAAATATTTTTAGGTTATATTTTTCATATAAATTGAGCTATAAGAAAAAAATCACTCCAAAGAACTCTATATTTCCTATTTCTCTTGTATTAGTGATTTGCTCTCAACTTACGATCTCCGACTCATTGGGTTTTGAATATTTAGATGGTACAACAATCAGTCCTCATTTCTCTATAGCTGTCATCGGCTCAAATATTTATATCCAGTTAATCTATTTATAAAGGTCACTAATGGTGATGCTATCTCGATATTTTCCTTCATCCTAAAATGTTGTCTCTATAATTAAAATAAATAAACTTTAGAAAGCAAGACATAATCATAACTCAAAAAGGCTTCCCATAAATGTATTTCCTATGGCAATTAGTTTAGAGAAGCTAGTTAAGTAAAAGTTTTAAATTCAATTTACAATTAGTGTAGTGGATTGTGAATAGAATAGTAATGTATCTCTAACATAACTTTCTTTTAATAAGTAGTATACATTTTAAGCTATTTATCTGATTCGCAATGTTATTATGTTTATACTAAAAATTTTTAAAGGGATTGTTTAATTGAAATTATAGAATTAATTAAAGAACATGTTTAATTGAATGCCTGAAAATAAATATGAGAAAATGCATTTCAAAAAAATTTCAGTGGATGTAACTGGTTTTATATAATTTTTTTCTTTTTATTAATAAAAGTGAAATATCATTATTGTTGATTTCATTAAAGATACAATGGACTACATTTCCAATTACCCAAAATTGCAATTAATATAATTTATGATGTTTAGGATTTTAAATGAATTTTGGTATTTTTAAAACATTCTTTGTCTTCTCCCATATTTCTTGATCTAATTAATGTAAAAAATGAAAAAGACAAGTAAATAGAGACAATTTTGTTTTTATAAACATTTCTCATTAATGTTTGTTCCACTTATATACACGCAATATGTAAACAAAAAACCTTAAAGTTCCATTTCAAAACCTTTTATATTTCAACATTATAATATACACATCTATTTGTAGTATCTGTATATATTTGTTTGTTTATTTGTGTGTGTGTGTGAGTGTGTGTGTGTATGTTGCTTTTGCTGTAGCCTGCCTTTGTAAGACAGAGAAAAAAAATGTGAAAAATAGACCTGTAGTCTACCATCTTACAAATGAAATTCAGGTCATCTGTTTCCTGCAGCACTGTGTATTGGAGTTAGGGGATTCTGGATTTTGTATCTGTTGAAGTGGGAAAGTATCTAGTGATATGAATTATTATATATATAATGGATATAGACATTTGAGTGTAGTATGTGAGAGTATGTTTATTACTGTAAATAACAATATGTATTTTGTGTATGAGTATACATGTGTGCCTCTATGTGAAACAGAAGGAAAGATAAAGGTTTCAGCTTGTCAGTATGGATATGAATCATCTCAATCATCAAGTATTTTAATGTATTTTATTTATCAGTGCTACAATAAATAGTTATTCCTCATATTCTTCTTGTAAATCTTTAACTTTTTAGGATTTAGATTTATAACACTCCTAGATGTTTTCCCACTCAATTCAATTTTGGTATCAGGAAGAAAAAAAAAAGCGACAACCCAACTTCTTGTGCATAATTCTTGCAATTCTTTATTCTTTCTGAATGGACAATTTCATCCATATACCCCCCAATATGAATGTTTTTCCCCATCTAGTACTATTTTAATTACATCTGATTATACTTGGACTGTTTTCATAATGATATAATAAATACATAAGAATGTATTACACTGATTCAAAAAAAAGAGCTTCCTACTGCTTAGCAGATACCAACTTAAAACTTGAAGTGAAACTCACCATAGCTATGTTATCCTAAATGTCATGTTTTGCAGACAACACAGCTGGAATTGAAACCCGGAGAAATGGTTACAGCCGCAGGCAGCAGGAGTTGTATTTCCTTCCCATTGTGATAGAAGACAGCAGTTACCCTGTCCAGAGCAGCACGAATACAATGACTATCCGTGTCTGTAGATGTGACTCTGAAGGGACCATCCTGTCTTGCAATGTGGAAGCAATTTTTCTACCTGTAGGACTCAGCACTGGAGCGTTGATCGCAATCTTACTGTGCATTGTTATACTGTTAGGTTGGTTTGCATATTGATCATCTCTCTCTCTCTACCTATCTCTTTACCCATCCTGAACTTACAAGCTCTATAAGTTTTGTTTACTGAGCTAGTTGTAAAATCATTGGTCACTTAATATACGTTTGTATTAAACACATTCTATTTGGTATTTTATATCTAACAGCATCAATAATTATGTCACCATTAATATTCATGTTGAAAATGCACTTCTTTTCCAATATGAAATTCTCTATGATAAATACTCATTGAAACCCATTTCTCAAATAGTTAGAAATAAAATTAATTGCCATCATCTAATAAAAATTAACTCAGATGAATAATAGTTTGTATTTCCCAGCTCAACAAAGAAATGAAAAAAAACATAGCGGCTATAAAAAAGCAGAGTAAAGAGACTCCAAATATGTTTACATTCTACTTGCATTTTCATCCCAAATGTCTTCAATACCTTCTACATTCCAAAGAAAATCTGTAAACATTACCATTCAAACAGAGAGGAGCTGACTAAAATATCCCACGACTCTCCTTGAATAGCCACACTCATTTGTACTATTCTAAATACCATTAACTCCCTTGTTCATTAAAAAAAAGCACTATTTGCATTCATTGTCTTCCATTAGATTCATTTGAAAAACACATCTATTCCTATATACTATTTAGTCCTTTAATAGAGTAAGGAGAAACAATAGAAATATGTGGGGCTAGTGTTTCTTGTAGATAGCCTCTAACCAAATGTAATGGAGTCAGTTTTTCTAACCTTGTACTGTTAATTCTTTCCTGGTTCTATTTCTTTAGTGTTTCTGAATCTCTCTCTCTCTCTCTCTCTCTCTCTCTCTCTCTCTCTCTCTCTCT